TTCTGGGGTAAGACCGTGATATGCCTCCAGAAAAGGACTGAGGGAGTGTTTGGAGCAGGTAGACAGGATATTGGGGGCTATGACTAATTCCTGGATTCATTTGGGGGCAGGGAGATGGAACAAGAAGCCTTTGTGGAGTTAGAGGATGCTATCCACAGAGCTGAAAGGGCACGAGTAAAAATCTGGTTGAAACTCCTAGAAAGTTCTTCATTCTCCACTTGTAAAGAAATTTTTATGGCCATGCCAAAAACTAGTACCCTGGCTTGGCAACAGGTCTTGATCAACAAAAAATAAGATGCTCTTCCCTCAATCCTATTTATAAAGTAAAACCAAGATAATACAAACTAGGAGGAGATATTCCTAGATACCACTCCCAGCTCCACATGGTTAAGAGGGCATTTTGCTCCCTGACTCTGTAACAACTTCTTTTAAAATGAAAAGCTCCTTTGGGATTGAGGGCTCCATTTTGTCAGTCACAAGATTAGAGACTTCAGATGGAAAAAGAATTACCTAAAGGCTTTGACAGGGAAGCTGAGTTTTCACATACCACCCAAGGTTTGCTCAGATTTAAGAAAAATACTTCAGGAAAGAAAGGAGCCACAGGGACCACAGAACATTAACCAGCTGATATGAAACCAAATATTGGTTATAAAGAGGAAACTGAACACAAGTCTTAGGAAGGAAGAACTGATGGCATGGAGACACCTAGAAGGAATTTTCCTATCTGACATAGATGGAAAACGTGAAAGCACAGTCACCAAGAATTCTGACACTACAGGAGAGAACATCTCTGAACTCTGAAAATCCTTTCTTATAGTCTGGATCGGCCATTAACTCAAGTTCTACCTTTCTCTGGGACTCAAATTCCTCATTAGAGAAATGAGTGACCTGACCTAGATCAGCTAAGGTTACTACCTCTTTTAGGTTACAGCAGACCCGTTTGATAAGCTGAGGAATCTACAGACATTGTCACTAAAAAACACATGAATTCACAGTTATACCATTTCAAGGAGTTCACAGAGTTGGTTTAGAATTAAATAAAATTCTCTCTGAGGATAACAAGATGGTGTGGGGAGGAAAAAAGGGGAAAATGAGTGATACTTTTGTAGATCATCCCCTCTCCTCTGCCTGGCACCAAATAATGACCACTAAAATATGTGTGTGGTCTTCATAAATTAATAAATATGACTGAGAAAACTAAACAGCCAGCAGGGGGAGCAAAGGTCAGCACCACACCCTCCACAGCTTTCAATGACTAAATTAGGGGGCTGTGAGACAGGCAGGACAAAGACAACCAAGCCCCAAGCTCTTCAAGAATGCAAAGGCTCCTGTCCTTTCTTAATATTCAGAAAGCCCATCTGGAGAACTTTTGCCCAGGGGCCACAAGGTCCCTAATTCTTCAACTCTGTGGAAGTGAAAGAATCACAGACATGCAGAACAAAGCAAGCAGCACTGCTGGGAGGAGAGATGAATTAGCAAGCAGAAATCAAACTGCTCCAGACCTGAGGCCTGACAGCAACCTTAGAACTTTCTGCTTTCCCAGTCCTATAATCCAAAGTCTTCCTTTAAATATCACTCAGCAAACAGAGAAATCAAATGGGGCTAGATCTATTTCTGATGAGTCCTTGGTCATGACTTTTTTCACAATTTATGTCCCCTGCCCCACCACAACTGCTCCTGAAAACAAAAAGCTAGTCTTTAAAAGACTGAATTGACAGTCTCTGTATTCATCTTTCAGCCTATCTGCTCCCCCAAATCAACCACTGAGGCAGAATTGCTATCCTCTCTCCTGGTTTGTCTCCCTCTAAAAACTACATGAATAATCGGAGCTGGAGAAAATTGGTAGACATTAAAGCCAAATGGCTATGGATGGGGCTATCTGCCCTGAGAGTGGAAAAATTAAATGAGACACAAGCTTCATCTGCACCATCTATGACTTGTTACAAAACAGGGAAAAATTCCTGAAGAGATAGGGGTGGTCGAACACTAGAAGAGGTGACACAGGCTAGGGAATCTAAGGATAAAAGTCTTCTAATAGTCTGATCTGAGAGGAGGCCTAGTCTGTGCAGAATCAGGGGAGGCAGAATGTGAGGGCCCCTTGAAGTACAGGCACCTTGCAATGTTCATGGACTCAACATCCCGATCCACCTTCATCAGGTGCCTGTGGGCACTCTGCCTTCCATCTTCTAATTACTCTCACGTGAGTGGGGAGGTAGGCACTGATTCTTTATGGCCATTCCATCTCCTCTAGTTCCCTTTTCCAGAACTAGCTTTCTTGTTAATATCCTGACTCTAACCTAGTCATGTTGATGAAGTAAAGTAAAAAAGAGCAAGTATCTGGATGAAAAAGATACTACATCTGCCACTAGGCTCCCTCAAGTATCTAGATAATTTGCACTCATCCTCTGCCTCCCAGGGAAGACCTGGCTTCTCAAGGGTTTGGCTTTCTTCACATAGAGGCCCCCTCCTCTCTTGACCATGTGACAGCTCCCCTAGACCTTTGATATAATTTATACCTTGCCAGGGACCAACTCTTTCCCACCACTGTGAAGGAGAGGGAAAAAATATATATAAATACGTCGGAAATCTATAACGAGGTCTTCTTGGAGGGCAAGACATGGGGAGACTTAGAAGCAGCGCCAATTGCTCTTTGGGGGTTTTAGTTCAAGCCGAGGTCTGCTTCCAGCAATCAACCATTAAAACAAGCAGGCCAGAGTAACAGCACAGTTTATTCTGATCATTTAATTTGAAGTGTCAATAAATTAAACTTCAATCAATTAAACTAGGTGTGCAATAACCCAGATGGACACCCCGACACCAACATAATCACAATAAAATTTTTTATGGCTGCCAGAGACCTCACCGGGGGCAGTGCTGGCACTGCTCGCGCCCTGGCTGAGAAATATATCTCCACAGTGCAGGAGCGAGGAGATTGCTTCTCCTAACGAAATGGAGGGGCCACGCACCAGCAAGGACGCAGCTGGAAGAGGGGCACAGGGGACTGCCAGGAACGAGATGGGAGTGCTTTGGGGGCTTAATGTAATTGATACCTTTGCCCAGAGCTGGGGGAGGGGGCATTTAGGCCAACTACCTCTACAGTTAGTGCCAAAGGAATTTAACAAAGGCCCCATTAAGATGATTCAGGAAGCGAAGGCCACAGAGCAATATCAACCTTTAAGAGTCTTTGATGTATTTTGCATAGTTTCCTCCTTCATATAAATGCATACTCACATGCACTCCGGATGCCGTGATTTTTGAATGAGGCTTTGAATTCAGGACTAGGTCAATGTTTTGGGATAAAAATGTTATTAAGGGGAGAGAAAGTTAGAATTAAGATGTCTATTCTGTAAAGCCCTGGAAAAGCACTCAGAAAGTGAATCCTGAGAGGATTAGGAAAAATGAAACCTATGAGAAAAGATTTAAGGATCTGCTAGAATAATTCAGCTTTGTAAAAAAAAGTAAAGGGGGAAGGGAGGAAGGGGATAAGTCGTTATCTTTAAGATTCCATAGGTTATAAATAGTGACCTGCAGAGATTCCATAGGTTATATATAAGTGACCTGCAGAGATCCTTCTCCATTCACAACTAAAAGGAGAACCAGCCCAAATAGCAGGAGAAGAAGAAGCTGAGTCCAAAAATGCAGGCTGGAAACATTTATTAAGCACTGGAAGGGAAGATAAAGAGTCTCTTTCCTTAAAGACTACAAGAAGACCTGAGAAAAACTGGACAAATCTGCTTGAAATCAAGGACTGGACTCCTTAATTATAGAAAGAAATGCAATCCACTGAGAAGTACCTAAGTAAAAGAACCTATTGGTATTTAGAAATTCCCATAATCAGATCAACTGTAATTCAGTAGAGAAGGGAGCTAAGGTAAGATCCAAGGATTCCTCATATTTTTCATAATGAAGATGGCAACCTAAGAATCGCGAGATGCTGCTGAATAAAAAGGAGGGGATGAGATAAAAAGGAGCAGGGAGGAAGTGAATCTGATGGAGCTAAATTTTGTGGGCCAGTATATGAGGGTGGTGAGAAGAGGAATAAAAATTTAGGAAATATCACCTGATTCTCAACTAGGGTTCCTCAGCTGAACCACTGAATACTAAAAACTATTTAAATGACTGTTTTCTTACTTCTCTCAAAGATGGTAAAAACTACTGCCTTTGTGGATAGGAGGAGAAAAGTTAATTCACTGCATCTAATGGATGCCTTAAGGTTTACCTGGCTCCTAGAAGTCCAGCTGAGAAAGGCTGGAATTGTGAGAAAGATATTAATCCTTAATTGGAGGTCCCAAACACAATGAAATTATAATGGAAAAAATTGCTGGAAAGAGCTGACACAAAAGAAGGAAAATACTAGTTTAATATCCTAAAAACTAGAGACCAGCACACAAACTGCTACCTGTCAGTACTTTGTCTGCAACCAAAGCTTTATATAACTGATGGTTGAAAGTACAACTTTACATACTGAAGAAGTGGAAAGCCCATTACAAGAGAATTTAAAGTAACATCAGAGAGAGACTTGGTCTGCCAGGATGAAGAATCAAAATTCAATCCTAGTTTTGACATTCAAGGAAGCCCCTTTCCATATATTTGGGTTCCCATAACCCCATTACATAGATTTCATAACAAAGAATCAGTATAGTTTTTAAAGGCAAGTTGAGTGGTACCTGACTAAGTTAGCAGGGATCTATCTGTGAAAGCAGCATCTTACATACAGATTAAGATGTATATAATATAAGAAAGAATCAGGTTGAAATAGATTTCATTGCAGAAGGAGACTGAGAAACTGAAATAAGAGAAAATGTGAAAACAAGAGACTCACATATAACTCCCTCAACTCACCACCACACACAGATCCCCTGTTAAAAGGGCTCCCCAGATATCTTCTCCCTCACTCCTTTACCTCTAAGCAGGCTCCCTTGTAAACAGGTAGGGAAGAGTCCAAAGTTTTCTAAAAACCTCCAAAGAAATGCATTACCTTGAATTTATCCTAAGCTGTTAACTGGTTAAGAATACTGGTTAACTGCCTGGCAGAGAAAAAAAATTAAAAACTACTCAGACTTTAAGCTTCCTACCTAGACTTGACCAACCCGTATGATTAAGAAGGAATTATCTGTACCTTTGCCATTTTGAAAGAAGGGAAGTGAAACCTGTTCTCTTTTGCCCAGTAAGGATCTGGAAGTGTACCAGTAGTAGAGCTGAAGGAAAGGAAAACACAAGAAAGCATCTTTGGGAAGAGCCTGGAGTTCAACTCAACCAAGGACGGAGGCTGGGAGTTAAATTCCCATACACACATATACACTAGAATCCCCAAGTTGCAAAACAGGGCACTTTTGAGAGAAATGCTCTAATCCAGTTTTAAAGAAAGGGTAATAGTATTTCATTCGTTTGAACAAGCAAAAAGGATCATCTGGACAAGGGAGCTAATACATGCCTTTAGCCACCAAAATTCTCATATAACTAGAATGAGAGTTGGCATCCAAGATCCTACAGTAAGAGTCCCTAAAACCTAAGTGGGGAGAGATAAAGAGAACAGAATAAGGGGGTCTTGAAAAATATTCCACAATCCATGCTAACTCTATCAGGTATTCCAGAACTTTGACAGAATCCTGATGATCACGATGAACCTATGTGATAGTGGTAACAGGAAGCCGAAGCAAAAAGAATAGTTTTTTGAAGGTATGTAACGGAATTATCAACGGAGAGTCCAACTGTGACAACCTTCAGAGGAGCCTGTGATGACAAACACCTGCACTCTGTTTCTTTACAATCTGGGGCGAGTCTGGAGGTTTGGGAAAACTCAAATCAGGATATAATCCAAAATGCTCAGAATTAGTGGGACACCTGAAGGACCCCAATCTAGTACGCTTATGACCCTGTCTGTCCTAAGGCCACCATGTGCTCCCTTCAACTTTCCACCGATTCTGCCCTCTCCCCAGCTGAGGTTCCTACTTTAAAACCGAGGCTTCAGCTCCTGCACTAGGCCACACGCTTATTCCAGGCGCGGGCAGAATCGTCGGCCCTCAAGGTATTACCAGGAACTCCCCTTTCCCTTCCTCCCAATCAGGCTGAACCCAGACTCCCGGTCCCTCTGGACACCGCAGCACCTCAGCCGCCCCTCCGGCTCCTACCAAAATCAGCGCCTCCATCTTGCCCCGAAGCTGGTGCCGACGTGGAGCCTCAAACGCAACGCCGCCGCTGATTGGCCCTATGTCTTCATTAGACCCTGCCCAGGATGAAGATTATTGGACTACCATAGCTCTGTTGACCAATCAACATGCTAACTTGCCTAGTGAAAGCAAGGTGTCCAGCCAGAAAGCGCAGATCTTTGATTGTCAGCTTAAATACTCAATAAAATGCCCCAACCTCACGACTGAATGGGGCGGGAGGGTCAATGGGGGCGGGGTTGTTTCCATGGAGAACAGAGGAAGCGATTATTAATTTTCAATTGGCAGAACGGAGGGCACGTGACGTCGTCGGCCTGATTTAGCTACTTTAATCCGCACTTCCTTTAGGGGGCGCTGTGTCTCATTAGCCCTCAAAACTGGCAGCTCCTGACAGATCCTACCGTAATCCCTATTCCAAGAGCATCCCCAGCCAGGTCCCTGATATTGTGGCTTTGGCCAAAACATACACTGTTTGCTCTTCCCTCAGACTGGCTCAAATCACTTTCAGCATCCCCACAGAAAGTCTGCACAACCATAGAGTAAAGTCAAGAGATGCCCTGCGTGTTGATAGATAAACCAAGGCTGCCAGAAGTTGATAGCTACTAACACTCTCCCCGAGTCCCCTGGAGTCCCAGGCTTTGCTGGGTGCAGGGAAGGAGAAGAAGCCAGTGAGTTTCTAAAAGCAGATTTTCTTTGACCGGACGTAAAATGAAGACCAGAGATGAGGAGTAGGAGGGATAAAGGGGTAAAGGGTCCAGGATAAAAAAGGGCATAGGGAGCAGGGTCTGCGGTTTTCCAGTAGGGACAAGCCGTTGCAAAATGAGAAAAGAGAAGTTTACTGAATGCAAAGATTGCACAACAGGGAAAGGTTTTGATGAAGTTTAGTGCTCCCTTACCCTAGGTTCCTTGGTCCCGACCCCCTTTAGATCAGGGACACCTTCTGTTGGCTGTATATTACCCACAAAGGGATTTTTTTTTTTCCTGTTTCTGACAACTCTGTCTCTAAGAGCTCTGCAAGAAGAGCATCCAAACCTACCCAGGAGTTTTTCTAGTAATTTCACTGTAGAGTCAGATGACCTACGAGAAAAGTATAGAACAATACAAAACAATCTACAGAGCTAACATATCGTTAGCTCCTCAAGACTTGTGGCACAGAGCTCTCTTGTACCCCAGTCCTACCTGAAGCACCTTAGACCAGTGCAAGATGTTTTATAGGGACCACAAGGAGGAAAAATGTGTGATGTTGTTGGTTCATGGTGAGGTTGGTTTGGCTCCTTTCTTTGATTGTGGAGTAACTGACAAATTTTAACAGTCAGACAGTGTTCCAGAAGATGGTTGATTCTCAGGTGTCCAGCCTACTGTGTAACTGTGAGGTGAGGAAAGGCAACTGGCTGGTTGAAGACACTGGTTCTTGTCATGACTTTGTCTTGGTAAGTGGGAGACTTCTGGCGAGTCCTTGTACCCTCTCTGGACTACAGCTGCCTCTTCTGGAAAATAGGAAGACTCAAACCAGAGCTTTCTAAGGCCCGACCTAGTGTTAAAGTTCTATTCATTCCCTCTCCTTTTTTTATTTCCATCTCCCCTTCATCTGGAAAACCTTTAAGAATCAATCAAATAGAAAATTCTATGCCTCCCTCCCCATATATACATATGCATAATATAAGACCATGTATATATGGTTACAAACAATTTATTGAAAAAGTGTGGAGGAAAAGACTGGAAGGAAATACACCAAAATGTGACTCAGTGGTTGTTTTGAAGTGCTAGGACTTTTTCAATGTTTCCATATTCTCCAGGTGTTCTAAAATGTGTAGGTGCTATTTTAAAAGGAGAAAAATATATTTTTTAAAGACAAAACATCTTCCCCCCATGGAGCCTTCCCTGATGTCCCCAGGTAGAGTTGGACACTTCCTCGTTGCTGCCATTGCTGACTCTGGTAATAGTGATGTTGTGACACATCAGTCTAATTCACCAAACTTGTCATCTGAGGCAGTGACTTGTCCCACTCATTTTATTTCCTTAGCACCTAGCCCTCAAGAAGTGTTTACTGAATGGAGTAAATACTCACAAAAATGCAAGATAAAAAGATGAATGAGCAGTGTCAAAGGACAGTTTAGAATTAAATGCCAAATAAGGGGCACAGATATTGTGAAGAGAGTGATACCTGGGGATTGAGGAGAGAGTTAGGCCTTGATTCATTCATGCATTGATGAAATGATAGAGGTTGATAGGAATAAAGGTATGGCATTGGGATGTGTAAGAAAAATTTTTTGTTTTACTGTCTAACTGTAAAATAAAATGTTTTTTATTTATTTTTATACATAACATAAAATTTATTTCAACAATTTTTAAGTGTACAGTTCAGTACATTAAGTGCATTAAGCACATTCACATGTTATGCAGCCATCACCACCATCTATCTCCATAACTTTTTCATCATACTAGACTGAAACTCTGTACACACTAAAAAATAACTCCTCGCTCTCCCCTCCCCTAGCCTTTGGTAACCACTATTCAACTTTCTGTCTGTATGAATTAGACTATTCTAGTACCTTATAAAAGTGGAATCATGTAATATTTGTCCTTTTGTGTCTGGTTTATTTTACTTAGCATAATGTCTTCGTGGTTGCATAAGAAATCTTTGTGGGATTGATTTCATGGGACAAAGGATTCAAATTAAAAAACAGGGAAGAGGATGGAGATAAAACTGGAAAAGTACTGTGTGACCAGATTGTGATTGCTGTAGTGGGACCACATGACTGTGGGAGTTGGAACTGTTACACTCTTGAAAAGTATTATGGCACTATTCTGTAAAATTAAACATGAGTACATCCTCTCCTAGAGAAATAAAAATATAACTCAGTACATAATGATATGTATACAAAAATGCTTATTGCCACATTGTTTATAATGGCAAAAAATAACGTTATTGTCTATAAATAGGGGAATGGCTGAATAAGTTATTGTACAACCAGACTATGGAATAATATGCAACTAATAAAAAGCTATGTTAGCGCTATAGTATTAACCTGGAGACATGGTGATGGCATGTTAAACAAAAAATAAACTGCAGAAGAATTTAAGTGGTACAACTGCATTTTTTAAATTTAAAAATGTAAGACTAATTATGAATAAATGTTTGCCAATTTTCCTATTCTATTCTTTTCATTCACTCAACAATTATTAATTGAATGTTAGTTGTGGGCCAGCCACTAACTCTAGGCACTGGGTATTTGGCAGTTAACAAAACAGACAAGTATTCCTGCCCTAATGGAACTTGCATTATAGTTGGGGAGTAGGTGCAGACAGTAATCAAAGAAATAAGTAAACTGTATAAGAGGTTAGCTGGTGATAAATGTAGAGAAAATTAAAACTGTAAAGGAGACTAAGGGGCAATTCCTCTATGTTGCACAATTTGGAGTGGTACCATTCACACTGGGGGCAGGAGGGACAGTTCAATAAACCTTACTGAGAAGGAAATCTTTGGTTAAAGACCTGAAAAGAGTACAGGAATGTACCATGTGAAGATCTGGGGGAAGAGAATTCCAGGCAAAGAGAACACAGAAGAAATGTGGAGAGAAGTATTAATTTATCTTACCCTAGAGAGTGGGATGGAAAAAGTGGATTATTCGTTTGTCTTTACATATGTTGGTATTGTTTGGCTTTGTTACAATGAGAATGTATTTTATAATTAAAATCTAATAAAGAAAAAATATCAAAATGAGTATAAGGTTGTAAGAGTTGAATGAAATAATATGTGTAAAAATATGTGTAAACTGTTAAATGCTCTACTATTGTTATTTATTATTATTATATATTATCTTATAAATAACTGGACACTATTGAACACATCTGAGTAGAGGCATGAGATTATAGAAGCATTTTTTTATTGAAACAAAATTCATGTAACAAAAAAACATTTTAAAGTGTACAATTCAGTGATATTAAATACATTCCCAAAGGTGTACAACTACCACCTGTATCTAGGTCCAAAACATTTTCATCAGACCCAGAGAAAACCTGGGACCTATAAAGTAGTCACTCCCAATTTCCCCGTCCCTCCAGGCCCTGTCAACCACCAATTTGCTTTCTGTCTCTATCAATATTTCAAAGAAACTAAATCATATGGCATGTGACCTTTTGCATCTGGCTTCTTTCACTTAATTAATGTTTTCAAGATGCAATCATTTTTCAGCATGTATCAGTAGTTAACTCCTTTTCATGGCTGTATAATGTCCCATTGTTTGATATATCCTGTTTAGTTTATCCATTCAGTTGATGGACATTTGGGTTGTTTCTACCTTCCAGCTATTGTGCATAGTACTGTTATGAACATTTGTGTGACAAATATTTGTTTAAATACCTATTTTCAGTTCTTTTGGATATATACCTAGGAGTGGAATTGGTAGGTCATATGGTAATTCTATGTTTCACTTTTTGAGAAACCACCAAACTATTTTCCATAACACTTGTACTGTTTTACAATTCAAGGTATGAGGATTCTAATTTTTTGTAAGTTGCTCATGTTTATATTCAAGAGATTTTGCCTATGTTTTCTTCTAAGAAAAGGTATACAGTCTTTTTATATTTTTTTATTAAGGTATCATTGATATACACTCTTATGAAGGTTTCACATGAAAAACATTGTGGTTACTACATTCACACATATTATCGAGTCCCCCCCCATTCCCCACTGAAGTCACTGTCCATCAGTGTAGTAAGATGCCAGAGTCACTACTTGTCTTCTCTGTGCTACACTGTCTTCACCATGACCCCACACACACACCATGTACACCAATTATAATACCATGAGGGTTCTAATTTATCCACACTATAACTAACACCTCCTTTCCTTTTTTTTTAATGGCAATCCTAGTTGGTATGAAATGGTGTTTAACTGTGGTTTTGCTTGCATTTCCCTAATGACTAATGATCTGAGCATCTTTTCATGTGCTGTTGGCCATTATAAATCTTCTCTGGGGAAATGTCTATTCAAGTCATTTACCCATTTCTTAATTGTTTTTTTCTTTTTGTCTTTTTGTTGT